AAGCCTCCGTTACCTTACGGGGAGGATTCAATGTCTTTCTCTTGTTTTTTTGCATCGACTGTTGCATGGATGGGGGTTTTTGTTTTGTTTTTGACAGAAAAATTTCCCTCTGGGACAGTGAATTATCATCTTATCTTATCTTTATCTTGCCTTGTCTTGTCTATCTTGTCTTATCTTATTTTCTCTTTATCTTGCCTTGTCTCGTCTTCCCATATCTTATCTTATCATCTTATCTTATCTTATCTTATTTTACTGAAAGATTCCCTGACTTCACCCCCCCCCCCGGCCATCTTTGTTCCTGAATCTGCCACTTCCCCTGTATCCGTCTGATCTCTGGTTGTATGCTATCTTTTGTTAATTGTGAGGCAGTGTGGTGGAATCAGGCTCTCGTCAAAATAATCAAAGTGAAGAAACTTGCATTTTTCTGCAGGCTTGTGAATTTTTATCACATTTTTGTTTATTGGCTCAACACCTTTCATGCCCGTTAAAGAACTCATTTCTGTGTGGATTTTTCTTAAAAACGTTGATTAAAGGCACAACAAATGTAAAATTTCAGTTACCACGGACTCTTAAGCTAAGAAAATAACTAATCTTTGGCGGCCATTTTCTCACTAATTTTACCTCTGAAAACAGGTGACCCCCCCACCTCCATCATTCGCAAATATCTTGACTAGCATTCAAGATAAATTGATATTTTTTCCATCCAAATAAAGAAAAATGAACAAGCTTTAAGATGATACCGATAACTCTACATGCCCAAAAATTGACGAGAGCCTGATTCCACCATGCTGCCTCACAATTATATCTGGCGATAGTCTTGATCATATGTCCAAACCATTTTATACGTTGTTTAACTATGTACTCCGAGCTGGAAGTGGATTCAACTTACTCTCTGACTATCATCATTTCTCACTGTTTCTTCTTGTGATGTTCTTCAATGTTTTTCTTAATTATACCATCGATCAGCTTCGACTGTAGCTGATAATAATAGTTCTACACTCTTGCTGCCAAATCTAACTTATTTACAAAGAAAAAAAGAGGGGAGGGGGATGCTGCTTCGGCCATGCCTGTGAGTTAACAAAGAGATCTATTCGTTTCTTTTGGATCTCTCAGCTGTTTTGTTCCGTGGTCTCACGAACTGCACCCATTCCGTCTTTTTAACTTGTCGGGTAGCTGCTGGGTTGCACCCGGAGATACCGGAACTAACGATTTATATTTAGATGTTCTGGAGTACTAGAGAGATTCTCTGTATCAACAAAGAAAAAAAGAGAAGGTCTCTCGTTGTCTTGGGGTACAGTGTCCGCCTCTCATTCAGTAGATCACAGGTTCGAAACCTGTCAGTGACGGAAAATGTTCTTCTCTAAATATTTTCTCCTTTCACACATCCTTTCCTACTCTCTAAACATGCTCTGTCGCCTACTTTCGCCTCCACTTTCTGCTCCCC